TCTAAAAGTTAATGTTGGAGAATAAACAACTAAGAATAAAGAACCTCAAATTTAAATTTTAGTTTTAAGATCTAAATTTTGATAGCAACTTATAAGCTAAAGCGCAAAAGATAAGAGCCAGTAACGGTTCATTTTGCCCTTGGAGTGGTGGTGGTTTCATCCGATGAAGCTTCAGTAGGACCCACCTATCAGTAGAACACTCCTTTTATCTTCTTCCCTCTTTCATCCGGATTTGGGAGCTACCAGCAGCGCAGCTGGGAGGCCGAAGAAAAACCCAGCCTTACTATGGTCTAGGGATAACGATGTCGGAAGGGCGCTGGGAGGCCGAAGAAAAACCCAGCCTTACTATGGTCTAGGGATAAGGATGTCGGAAGGGTGCATGGGGTTTCCTTTTTCCATCTGCGTCGGTCGCCGTCGTGGTCATGTTGTCTCCCCATAACCTCACTGCATCACACTACTTAAAAAATAATTTTTCTGACAGCCAAAATAGATTTTGCTGGCGGCCAGTGCTACCACCAGCGACATGAGGCTAGTGAAAATCAAGTTTCGTTGACAGCAAGCTCATTTTCACTAGTGCACTGCCAACCACCAGAGAAAATCGATTTTTACTGGCGAGGAGGCTTGGTTTTCGGTGTCTTATGTAATTTTTACAAGCGAGATTTTTTAAGTCTGCCAGTGAAAATAAATCTTAAGTGTCATGAAAAATCGTTTTTTAAGTACTATCACCTATACCACCTAGCATCCACATTTCCCTGTTCTCCTCTCGCCATTGTTGGTCACCCCACACTCTCCACTCACCATCAGTGCTGTGTCGCCACTCCCATGCCAACGATCAACACAATCACTCTCTGTGTTGACAGCCCCCGAATCATCAACGCCCATAGAGGTCATCCCTATTCCACCCCGTGGTGCTATACTCTTACCTCGCCTATCTTTCTTGGAACTCCACTGGCAACACCGCTCAACATGTGCGGAGCACCGTTAGAAATCCTTATCGGAGCCATGCGATCAAGGTGGTGGCCGATTGGCGGAGGCCCCTGGTGATGACGACATGTGCGAAGAGTCCGACGGCAACAAAGATCCTAGCGGGCATTGGTTTGGTGAGGACACTGAGGAGCTCCCTGATTTGTGGCTCCTCTTCCGCTGTTGCAGAGAGACCCTAGGAACGCGATGAGGACGGTCACCACTGCCCAGCAAGAGAATAGAGGGAAGAGAGGAGAGAATGGAAATGTGGAGGAAGAACATGGTAATTTACACATGGGTCCCTAATTTCTTAATTGATTTTTCCGAATGGACAACCACCATAATGTCATGCGTGCACCATATCGGATAAGACAACCGTCAAAACCTCTTAGAGAGTGCGAAAGGGAATATAGTCTAGTGATTGTAGTGATCTAAGAAGCACCCCAAGGTCCTGAATTCAAATCTCCATAGGAGCGAATTTCAGATAGGGTTGTTTCATAGGTTAAGTTCCTAATTTGAAATGGATGCATATATCCGGTTAGATATAGAGACCGTGTAAAAAAGAAATACCCCTTAAAAAAAATAATAAAACACTCAGAGAGGGAAAATCAATACATATAAGCCGAAGTACCCTTGGTATCCGGTTGAGGTAAGAAGTTGGACTCCGATTCTAGCTGAGGAAGGTAATATAGACTTTAATTTCCAACAAGTTATCAGCTTTCAAAGAGAAAAGAATGCGCAGTCACTAGCTGCATTTGATCTTGGGCAATCTCACTGGCCGTCATGCGATCAATCCAGTGATCTTGCCAAAAGAAAAGCGTTTCACCATTACCCAACTTCAAATGTACCGAAGCTCTGAAAATAGCATGTGCATTGTAGCCACATACGCGCTCACGCAACTGGTAGTCCACGAGCTGAAGCTTTGATGATCGATCCCTAGTCCACCATGGGCGAAAGGCCAATGAACTTTTTGCCACACCACCAGTCAGTGGCCTTCTGTCACCTCTTCCGTACCTTCCACAAGACGTACACTAGACACCGCTTGTATCTATTTTTTTTAGTAAAATACGTGACCGGTCCTTAAAGTTGGAGCGTGGTGTCACTTAGATCTATGATCTTGGAAAATCGATATTAGGGTCCGTGATCTTGTTTAAGTGAATCATTGCGGTTCAAAGAATATCTGACCGGATTAACTACCTTACATGGCGGTCCAGCGTGGCAATATATTTGCAGTTTGGCCCCCTGTATTTTGCTTCCCCCGCGTCTGATCTAGCTCCTACTTCGCGTGGTGCGCAGTGATGCAGCCCGATGGCGCCAACGAAGTCGAACGCGCGGCGCGGAGTATGCGGTCGATCTTGGATCAATTCAAGAACGGCGTCACGCTAGATGCAGACGACTTGAGGCAAGTGCTCCGCCGGGTAAGGATCAGTAGCTGGTCGATCAGATTGCTCCGAGGAGATTGCGTTCTTGGAGAGTGAGCTGTGCTTACGACTGGACGCCGGCGACGAGAACATCAATGACGTTCTCCATGAACAGCTTAATGGTGTTTCTTGTGTACTGCCGCGTCATGCTGTTTGACCACATTCGCCAACCGGGACGACGACAACGCGGCGAGGGCGTCGATGAGGTGGGCGATGAGGCCCGGCTGTGAGAGGACGGCCATGGCGCCCAATGGCTGCTCGGCTTTCCTCGCCAATAGCTTAATGCTGTGACCGGCGAGGTCATCGCGGTCGGTGGAGAGCAAGGCGGCGAGGGCAGACATGGCGCCTGCGGCGATGGCCTTGCCCTGGTTGGCCGCGCTCTGGAGTAGCCCGTACAAGCTGACCATGGCATTCTTCCGGCTGCCGTACGCGCCGTCCTGGATGAGCTGGACCAGCGTCAGGATCGCCTCCGGGATCGTTGTGATGCGCCTCGGCCTTGGTACTGATGTTGATCACGTTGACGACGAGGCCGACGCCTTCAACCTCCACGATGGTCATCCGCCTGGCGGGGTGCTTCGAGAGGTTGAGCAGCGACGCCACAACATTGTCCTGCATAGCGACGGCGGTGGAGGAGAGGAGGCATAGCAGCCAGGGCACGACGTTGGCGTCCACGAGGCACGCCCGGTAGAGCACGTTGTGCTTGACAGCTTCCCTGCCTCCGATGTCCCCTTCCTCCGCTCCTCCGTCGACCCCCTCGAGAGCGGCACGATGATGTACGGGCGAGGCGCACGGCTCCCGTGGCGGCACGACCATGTTCACAACGGCGCCGTGGCAGTGGCCATCGCCGGCGGCGCCGCTCGGCTCCGGAAGGGTGACGCTGTTGATGAGGAGCATCCTCTCAATGATCCCTCAAAGCACGGCGGGCGTTGGGGACGAGGTAGTCGGCGGTACTGAGCTTCTCGCCGGTGACTGGTTACGTGCGGCACCCGGCTTTCATCCACCGGGTGATCGACGCCCGGTTGTATGTCTAGCCGGTGGACACGGTCACCGGATCGGTCATGAGGTCCAGAGTGATTGGGCATGACAGCGCATCATCCATTCCGGGCACCTCGCCGGCGCCGATGCAAGGTCGTGTGGACAGCAGTGAAGCCTTCTTCTTTTTTGCAAATCAAATCGCAGGTAGAGAAGAAGATTTGGGGTTGGGGAAGGAGGAGGTTGGATCCCACGTGGGGGAAGCAAAATGCCAGGGGGAGGGGGGCAAAATACATATTATGTTGCCACGTTGGACCGCCATGTAAGTGAGTCAACCTAATCAGACATGCTTTGGACCGTAATGATTCACTTAAATAAGATCAAGGACCTTAATATCGATTTTTCAAGATCATAGACCTAACTGACACCACGCTTCAACTTTAAGGACCTGCCGTGTACTTTCCTCTATTTTTCTTTCCATGCTATATAACCAATTTTGCCTTTTATCACCCATTTGGGGTGCTCAAGGCAAGAGAGTAGTAGCTGATTTTTGTTCTCTTCCACATCAGAACCATACTTGCGCGGTTATAATTCTAACGAATTATATAGGATCAATTATGGATTCGCATCGTCTGCCATTAGGAGCAAATGGCAAACATAAACAGTAGGCTGAGATTACCCCAATGTCATAGGCACTGTGACGATACGCACCCATCAAGTATATAGGGTCAGATTAACTCTATATTACTCTTAAATTACAGGAACAGTGATTTGTATTTATTTGTACGTTAAAACATATGTTCTCAAGCGTTTACAGCTCGTGAGTTCTGATACACTGTTGTTTAATTCGTACTCCATCTGTTCCCATGCGCAGTCAAATCTCAAACCGTAACTCACTGATATGTGCAAAAATATTGAAATTGTACATTCTAGATTTGGCATGAAAAATACTTCAATGTACTTTCCACATCTTTGGAGACTGTTTTAACAAGTATAAATTAATTAAATTAAACTAAGGAGCATTATTTTTATAGCAAAGTCATGGTCATCTGTTTGATTCAAATGACCGCTGTTTAATCAAACTCCAACAGTTTCGCTGCTGTTAGCTAGCTAGTTTGGTAGTCTCCAATAAACATTTGTCCTTTTGCATGAATGCACACATAGGATGTGAAAGCTGGTATCACTATTCAGAAGCACTCAGCCTGAATGGATCTAAACTTGGAGGACGCAAGTTGCGTGTTTCTGAATGTTGAGGAGCAAGAAATTCTGGTCAGGCTGTATCATTCTTGATGGGCCTGGTACGCAATACCACTAATTTCATTTAGAGGACGACTACTTAGAATGAAACTAAGCACACCCCATGATTAATGGGCTCAAATTGGTATTAGAAGACATATAATTGAGTATAGAACATGCAGGTACACAAGCCACATCCAATCTGCTGTTTTGAATAAAAATAAAATGGACATGCCACATCTTGAGTAACAGCATAAAAAGTACTTATGTTGTACTGGAAATAGCTAAGCTGCGTGAAGAAAAGGAATGAATTACTACTACAAGAGCAAATATTTGTCATGTTTAATTCAAGCAAACAACACACTAGATAAAATTGGAGTTTCCATTTGAAGGCCGTCATCAACAACATCAACATATCGAACCATCAAAAGGGTCATCTCTGGCCAGATCGTGGATGCGCTTGTTATATAAAATGTTTCGCCAACAATAATCTCTTCTAAAATCAAATTGAGCATCTGGAGAAGCCTTATGATCAAGTTGTAGCCGCCTATGTTGATTGGCCATCCATTTCTCTGTGCAACCGACAAGGACACCGAATTTCATTGCCTTGAGCATTCTTGCGTTCAAAACAAAGAACTTGGCAAAGTTCACGTCTGGTCTCATTCCTAGATAATTGTTCAGTATTATATATATCTGAGATGGTGATCAAGGCATTCAATAGGTTCCAGTGGGTTGTAACGTCTTGTGTTTTTCATAGTCTTCTGCAAAAATGACTACAAACTTGAAGGAACAAAGTAAGTACCACCTATGTGGCATACATAAATATTGTAATCAAGGATTTAAATCTCCGGCTATAGCTGCCGCTATAGCCGGAGATAGCTGTTAGGAGAAGCAACCGCTAAGATATGTCTAATTTACAGCTACACGTTCTAAGGCGCTATTAGCTGCCTTTAGCTGGAGATAGCCGCTAAATGGGCTCTCAAATAGCTGCAGCTAACTCGTTGGTGGGCTGAAATCCTGAAATTGGCGAACGGCCCATATCACCTAACGAAACCCTAACTCTCTCCATCTTCCACTCAGTCACTCTCCGTCCTCTCCTGTCGACGGCGGCTTGCAGGCTTGCAGCGGCTGCTCAAGGAGGCAGCAGCAGCCGCGACGGCGGTTGATCCCGAAGGCGGTGGCTATGACCTGCAGTGGTGGCGGCTGCTCCCGAAGGTGGTGGCTGCGACCTGCTGCGGCAACGGTGGCGGCGGCGGCGGCGACTCCCAAAGACAATGGATCCACCAATCCCGGCCCCAAGCGACGACTGTGACAGGCGGCGGCGGCAGCTGTTGGTGTTGCAAGCGGCGGGCGGCGGTGCTTGTTCTGTCAGTATTCTTTTTCTTGTGCTCGAGCCAACCTTGTGTTGTTTCTTGGTTCAGAGATGGGTTGGTGGCTTGGTTGCTCACGAATTGTTTCTTCTTGGTTTGTTGGTGGCTTGGCTGTTCATGAATTGTTTCTTCTTGGTTTGTTGGTGGCTTGGCTGCTCATGAATTATTTCTTCTTGGTTTGGTTGGTTGCAGTGGCCTCAGGGTGAGGAGTATGGAGGTTCTTGAATTGTTTTTTTTTTGTTCAAGTTCAAGAATTCATGGGGGAGGAATTCATTGGCATGTTCCTCCTGTAATTTAGCAAGATGATTCAGGAAGTGGTGAGGATTTGATCCTACTGATTATCAAGCAATTCCTCTCTCCCTAGTCTTCTCTGCTTTCCCCAAGTTAAATAGCTTTCTCTTCCATATAACTGATTATCAAGTTATTTATGTCTAATTTTTGCAAAAACCGCTAAATAGCTTAGTTGCAGCTATAGCCAGCTATAGCTGATCATAGATGATGGAGAACCTAGCAGCTAAATGTCTTAGCCGGAGATTTAAATCCTTGATTGTAATTAAATGCATATGGTTCAAGCAGGAAAAATGCTTATTCGGCAGTAAAGCCCTACTAATCTTGATAACAAAAAAGAAAGTTATTTTTAAGTATTAGGTTTTTACCAGTATTTTAAAACAGATGTACAAGTTAATGTATTTTAAAATGGATTTTATCACATATAACTGCCAATTATTATATCCATATTTCAATATGATGCATTTAGAAAAATAACCAATCAAAGGGAAAAAAAGAACTTGTTAAATTTGATTAATTTTTTCATGTATTCTTCCCATAGTTGATTCCTTTAAATCAAAAAACAAGGAAGAATTTTCACCATGATGTACAGCTTCTCCAAGCATGGAAAACATTTAAGGAAGCCAAATTGTGTCCAGATTTGGTCCAGCAGACTCAAGAACCAAAACCTTCACTGTGCGCAGCGAGGCTGTCGAACTGACGACCATCGTTTCCTGAAGAAAACCAAGACGTACAGCATGTCAAGATGTCCATGTCCAAATTCACAACATATACTGATATATACGTGTGTCAAATCAAATCGAAGGCTCATGAACTCAGGGAGGTTTCAGCTGCTATGCTACGTACCTGAATAATTACAGTTCCAAGATCAAGTTTGGTGATTTTGTCGGACAGGTAGCCCAATACCTTCAGTTGAGGCGCCCTGACCACCCTGACATTCTTTGGGCCACTGTGCGGATCGAGCAACATCAATCTCTCGAGGCATGGTGCATCCTCGATCACGAGCTCCGTCTCGGCGGAGACGGCGAAGCCGACGCTCCGGAGCGTCGGCGAGTTGATCCGGACGGCGCCGAAGCCGCTGCTGGCCTCGAGACCCAGGGTCTCGAGCACGGCGCAGCCGGCGAGCACGCGGTGGAGGGCGTCCTCCGAGATGGCGACGCCGTAGAGGGTGAGCCGCGTCAGCCGCGGGAAACATGGCGCGGCGGCGGGGGCGACGGCGGGGAAGTCACAGCCGCCGATGTAGGCCGTGCGGAGCGTCGGCGCGAAGCGGAGCGCGGACGGCGGCAGCGGGCGCGGCGGCCTGGGGTCCGGGTTGACGCCGATGCCGTAGTAGCGGCCGTCGCTGGCGTAGGCGAAGTCGAGGTGCTCGAGGTTGTTGAGCGCGGCGGAGCAGAACCAGCGGTCGAACCTGGCGTAGATGCCGCGGAGGCCGACGCTGCGGAGGGAGAGGCGGCGGGCCGGGCCGCGGTGCGCCTCGAGGATCCTGGAGACGATGGAGATGCGCTTGCGCTCCTGCCCGGAGAGGCCGCCGTCGGCGTCGAGGTTGAGTGGCGCCGAGCACCAGAGGTGGCGCCACCGCGGGGAGAGCACGGTGGTCCGCGCGGCGTCCTTGGTGGGGAGGAGGGAGATGATGCTGCCGAGGATCTCGTCGGGGAGGACGCTGATCAGGTCGATGCCCCCCGCATCAGCATCGCCTCCCTCCGATCGTTCTTGGCAATCCGGTTCGTCGTGTCTCCGTTTCTTGGCGACTGGAGCGGTCACCTCTTCCATGGCCGGCGGTAGGCCGTGGGCGGCGTGAGAGGTGGCGGTTGTGTTGATGAGAAATTGAGAAGCGAGTCGGTTGTGGTTTTATTGGGCGAATTTTGTGGTAAAGGTAAACTGAAGCCGATCTAGACGGAAAAATGGCGCGCCAACTCAGAAACCTGCGTAAAACGCGAGAGAAAGGGCGGGACTTTTTTTTCTTTCTCGCTCAATTCAGGGCTTAAAACTAATCTGGAATATAGTGCTGAAAATGAACTATAAGTTTATAACTACGGAGAATAAAACAACAGTACCGCCAAATTTTAGGGATTTATCAGGAAAAGTGTAATTTTCACCCCCTCTCTTCTTCCATGTTCAAAACTTCATATTCCCATGCCAGGAGGGCAGCGCAGAAAACGTCGCACCGGTGAAGGACTATCTCTAAAGACACTGTTATCGCCGTAGCCACCACTCACTACTACGGAAATCATCTTTCGTGGTGGCCATTTTTGGTTTTTCCTAGCGGAAATTGCAGCCGTCACAAAGCAAAGGCCAGAGAAAATATCAATCTTCGCTAGTGGTTATCGGCCGCCAGCGATAATTGATTTTCGCTAGAGGTTGTATTATACCGGCCGCCAGCGATAACCGATTTTTGCTGGTGGCTATCTTATAACGGCCACCAGCGATAATCGATTTGAGACAAAAAAAAAACCATATGCAGCTGGCCTCCAGCTGCCAGCAAAAACCCCATGCTGCTACCTGCATTCCCAAATCCACATCCCCAAATCTCAAGTCCATAACAATTCAAATCCACATCAGATCCAACCTCAAGATAATACTACATCAATTTCTCACTTCATTATTAATAAACAAACATCAATACATGCTGTCGGTGATATGGGCCCGGGGGTATGCGAAGTATGGGGAAGTCTCCTTCCTGTCCAGCCACGCGGCCCTACAGCCTGGCTCTCCCCCCGCACCTCGGACGACGCAGAGGCAGCCAAGGGGCCTCGGGGTGCCACGTCAGACCCCTCGGGTTCTCGCGCTGCCTCGCCCCGAGGCCCTCGCCCGAACCGCCACGTGGTGGGGGGAGTGAGTGGGGCGGAGACCCAGGCTGAACCGCCATCAATGTGCAGCGCCCCAACCATCCCAATGCGGCGAGGGCGGACGTGCAGCGCTGCCCGATTGACCCATGTCAATCGGACGTGACCGAATTGTGACCGGCCTGTCGTCGGTCACGTCCGATTGGACGGGCGGCGGTGCCCCCACGTCCCGCCCTGTGCTCGGACGTGGTGGGGGCAGGTATGCTTCGTCCCATCAGAGCATCATATGGAGCCCCCTCCACGTGAGATGAACCGCCGAAAGTCTCCATTCATTTAAAGAGGAATGACAAGGGTGTCCGTCGTGTCAGGCGGGGGGCGGCGCTGGGCCCCACTCGACGATGGACGACAGCTTAGCTTCCGGGCGAAGGCATGAACAGTGGTCCGATCCAGGCGGAGTGGCCCCCCCTCCCGTGAAGGAGTACGTAGAGGCAGTGCATGTGGTATCCCCTTGAACTATAAATGGAGGACCTTACCCACCGAAAATAGGGATGACTCTTAGTTAGCCTAAACCCTAGGGGAAGAAGAGCGAGAGTGCTCCCTGGAGTTTAGGAACCTCTGTAACACTCAACCTTAAATCCCACGCACAGGAGTAGGGTATTACGCTCTATAGCGGCCCGAACCTGTATAATCCCGGCTCTCGCGCGCGGTCTGGGAAGACTCTAGGCGGATCCCCCGGCCGAACTCACAAAAGGGGATCTCTCGATCTCCCGCTAGAGTGGATCACTCCTCGACACATGCATATATGAAACATCAGTACAAACAAAATGGAGCAATACATGTCGTCACCAACCTACCATCGCCGCCGAGGTGGCCGTCGCCGCCCTATCCCTCCGGCTAGATCTGGGAGAGGGAGAGGGAGGGGAGGGGAGGAGGAGAAGGTGCTCTGGTCGCCCGTCGTCGTGGTCGCCGTTGTCGTCATCACCAGTCGCCATGGTCATCATCGTTGTCATGGCCCAGCCCGTCGTTGTCATTGTTGTCGTGGTGGTCGCCATGGTCATCGTTGCTAGAGGGGGCGCAGGGAAGGAGGAGGGGAGAGAGGTGGGAGAGGGGAGGAGGAGGAGGCCCTCCGCCCCCTCCTGCCGCCGCACATCCGCCGCCCGCGGCCTGGCCTGTCGTCATGGTCGCCGTGGTCGTCGTCGTCGTCGTGGCCCGGCGGTTGCGGATCCCGCGTCCCCACGGCCCAGCGGCGGCGGATCCGGCCTCCTGCGGCCCAGCGGCGGCGCCTCCCCGCCCGAGCCTTAGCACCGCCACCAACGCCCGAGAGCCACCGCCCGCCGCGCCAGAGCGCCGCCACCCGCTAGGTCCGCCTGCCATCGCCGCGGTGAGGTGGAAGGGGAGGGGAGAGAGGTGAGGAGGGTGGGGAGGGGAGAGAGGTGAGAATGGTGCCTGCAGCCACCAGCCAGCCAGAGAGAGAAATGTGAAAAGATGACAACAGATCCGCGGCCCTATCAGAGATAAGAAAGCAAGCTTGGGAGGCAGGGCAAAGAGGAGAAGGGTGATAAACTCATAACTAGGAGTTTGGCTGCGCTCATTTTATGGACTTGTAGCTAGTGACCGTGCAAAAACTATAGTTCGACTTGACTTCACTTCTGCCTCGTTATAAAACCGACAATGTGATCGTTTTCTTAGCGCTAGATCTAGCGATGATCCGGCATTAGTGATCAGTTTTTGGATTGGTGCTGTTTTAGTGTAACAAGAAAATGGCCGTTGTAGTATATTTTCTTTAACAAATTAAGTAATGACCAAGGTGTTTGGCAAATATATATGTTTGGCAAAGTAATGACTAAAAGCAGTAAAATAGTTACGTGAGCTACATAAATCATAACTGGACGTTTAGAACACTAATTCATCCAGCCATGTGTTCACCAAAAATATGTACTACATGTGTTTTAACACGGAGTGACATGGAAATTCACGTATAAGTCATGCTTGATTGCAATTCGTGTATAAACCTTGTAATTCCTTGAATTTAAGAAATATATCTATCCAGGTTTGCTTAAAAATTCTATCATTTCCCACATTCCATTGAACACTAATTTGAGCCAAATTGCAATGACGTAACAATTTCTTTAGTTTTTTATGCATAAAATTAGTGTTCCAATTCTTTTATGTTGCTTAAAATGGAAAACGAAATATATACTAAAAAAGTTCCACAGCAACGCAGTTAAATGCATTGAATGTACACGTAATTCTGTGCTGTTTTACAAATCACCATCTGTCAATTTTCAACAAATCACCATTTCACACAGGAGGGTAAAATAATACTAGCCGTTAAATGAAGATATTAGTCCGCTGTAGATACATGAGACAGAATTGCTGCCGCCAGCCGCCAGCCGTGCCAGCCAGTGCAGCCACAATGCCAGCCAGTGAAGAACTGTTACTCCAAAATTTGAAGGTATATAGGCTCCTCTTTCATTCTCTAGCTCATTCCTCCCCGAATCAAAAAGCTTGAGAAGAAATCTCCGATCCACCTCCCCTATCCTAGCAACGGCACGGCCTCTGCCATCCTCCATGGAGCTCCATCTCCCCTAAGTAGCAACAGCGGCGCAGTCTACCACCTTCCATCCCTCCATCACCATCCCAGGTTCGTGCTCCTCTAACCACAATCCCTATTGTTGATTCCAAGATCCATTTGGTTCATGCAGATCTGACATCTTCCTCCCCCAATAAACCTCAGGTTTTTCTGCGATCCAAGATGGCACCTGAGTCCTCCCAGCCGGCCAAGAAACGCCGCACCTACAGGTGCAGGCGCTGCGGGTTCCCCAAGAAGGGCCATGTCTGTGCCGCGGCTGCTGCTGCTCCTGGTGATCTGCCGCTGCTTCCCTCGCCAGAGGAGGAGGAGAAGGTCGACGGGATCAGCGCTCTCCCCGACGACGTCGTCCACACCATCATCTCCCTTCTCCCGACCATGGGTGGTGCCAAGACGCAGGTCCTCTCCTCCCGTTGGCTCCCGCTCTGGCGCTCCGCCCCTCTGAACCTCGACGACGCCGAGATTCCCGACCTCTGGGAGGACTTCCTCCTCAACGTCATCACGGAGATCATCACCGACCACCGGGGCCCGACCTGGCGCCTCTCCATCACCAAGCTCGCCCGCGTCAACGAGTTCCGCGGCGACCTCGTCGCCACCCTGGACGACCTGCTGCGATCCGGGACGCTGGACGGCCTCGAGGAGCTCCGGTTCCACTACCGTCCCAACATGACGGCGCCGGATCCGCTGCCGCCCACCGCGACGAGGTTCTCGTGCCTCCGCGTCGCGAGCTTCGGCTTCTGCAGCTTCCCCGGCGCCGGCGTGCTCGGGGGCGTCGCGTTCCCGAACCTGCAGGAGCTGACGCTGCTAGCAATCACCAACTCGGAGGACACCCTCCACGCCATGATCTCGGCATGCCCCGTGCTGAGAAGCTTGCTGCTGCGCGACAACGATGCGTTCCGCCGTGTCCGCATAAGTTCCCCAACCCTGGTGAGCCTCGGCTTGTGCTCGCGCACCTCGGATATGGAAGAACTCATCATCGACAACACACCGAGCCTGGAAAGGCTGCTTATGTTCAGATCATCCGATAAGTTGCCTAGGGTTGTCAGTGTGTTTTCTGCACCCAAACTTGAGGTGCTTGGCTGCCTATCGGATGGCATCTCTGATGAACACTATGGGGTTGTAGTTTGGCCGGTTAGTACATGCAGCCATCGATCGATTATGCATCTTTTTATTTTGTATGTGGCCTAACTGAGACATTAATCACCTTTATTTTTGTACTTCATGCATGATTGTTTCAGCAACAACTCAGGGTCAATTCGATGGCAATGCTGCGCACAGTAAAGATCCTGGCATTTAGGATTGAGGAGAATAGCCTGGATGCAACCGTTCATATCCTCAGATGTTTCCCGTGCGTGCAGAAGCTTCATATCACGGTGAAGTGACTTCTGGTTTAGTTGTAAATGATTATGTTAATTGTTCCTGTTTGAACTTCATGCATGTTATTTATTTTTGAACTTCATGCTATGTTTTTCAGCTGGCAGAAGGTCTTTTTGTTCCAGATATCCATAATGGTCTTGTAGATGATGCTGCTGCTATTGAATGTCTCGACCTCCATCTCAAGGAAATAGTGGTGAGAAACTACAGAGGCCAGAAATCACATGCTGCTTTTGCAAAATTCTTTGTTCTAAATGCCAGCGTGCTCAAGGTGATGACATTTCGAGCCTGTGTGAGATTGAGCAAAAAGTGGCTGTCAAATCAGCGCAGGCTACTTCGCTTGAGGGAAAAAGCTTCTCCAAATGCTCGATTTGAATTTTCATGTGACGGCTATTTTATGGATTATTATTACAACCATTCACAACGCAGTCATCAGCTGTCAGTAGGTGATCCCTTCGACGACTAATCCTG